AGGGATTTGAAGGTCAGCATTTAAAGGACAGATGGAAACTCCCTGGTGCCTGAGTGCAGTGGAGTAGGCGGAATGAGTTCATTCAGATGTTTTGAAAAAGAAAAGGATCTTTGTGCAGAGATCTTGTGTAAGAGTGCATTGCTAACAGTATGAGGTTATCTCTCACCCCGGTGTCCTGGCAACTTCCTGCCTATCACTCCACACCTGCAGCTAACCCTAGGCGACAAACTGAAAACAGGATCTATGGCTTATACCAGGAAAACACCTGCACACGTCAGGGGTATAACAGTGTGTTATAAAGAGTGTGTGTGTGTGTGAAGACCATACTCTTCGTCTGTGTTTATGTTTACCTCCCCCCTATCCCAGGTCAGCGCCTTCGGATGTCCTCCCGACGTGAAAGGCGCTCTATAAATGCAATCTTGTTGTTGTTGTAGGTGTCAGGCTCCGCCACCGTTAAGCGTTCCGAGTTACTATCCTGCGTGAAGGGTGCTATACAAGTGCAAGTTGTTGTTGTGGTGGGCATGGTCTCAAGGAATGTGTGGGGGGAACGACGACGGGGGGGAGGGGGGAGATATGTGTTAATATGGTTTGATAAATAATTGGTGGTTTGTGGTTCTTTACATTTTTTGTGAAAGAGGCCAATGGCCAAACTTCCATTCAGTTATTTTTGTTTTGAGAGTTGGGGTTGATCGCTGGAAGTAATAAACTCACCATAAAAAACAATTTGGTCACTCAATCGTCAACTGTTTGTGGGACATTGTGTATGCAATTGGCTGACGCGCTTTGTCCAGAAAATACACAGTCACTCTACAATACATTCTGTGAAGTGCTTTGAGATGTCACAACAATGTGATATGCGTTATATCAAATCCTAGGATTATTATTATTATTATGGGACTCTTAGAGAGTCTTTAAGACGCACGATTCGAACATAATAATAACTATGCTCCTGAATTACTTTACTGGGCGCGAGACAGGAAGCTTTTGGTCTCGTTAGATGGGTAACGAGATGGACCAATAGTTACTGCTGCCTGAGGCCGTTACTGTTAACAGCGCTGGGATCAAAGAGTGTCAAACAGTCGCAGAAAGTCTCCCTCCCACGGCTTCCTCACTAAAAGCAAGCGAACTGCACAGGCCACATCCCCCCCACTCTGGGCTGTTACTGGCACCAGCTGGGGCGTCAATTGACCTCAGCCCCCTCCCTTCGGGATGAGCGGCGGAGGGAGTGAAAATTAGCCAGAGAGCTCTGCACTCCTGATCATTATCCAGAGAAACAGCTCTCCTGCTGAAGGATGTAGATTTGACTTTCCTTCCTCCCTTCCCCCCAATCAACCTCCCACCCCCCCATCCCCCCCACCATGCGCTCAAGGCCCAACAAGCTCGAAGCACCTTCACGAGTACAATTCCTGGTTCACCAGCAAACAGTCTAAAACCACTGTGGATATGAAAAGCCTCCGGGCGCGACGGTGGTAAATATTAAATAAATCCTGCTTTATTTCACTTTTTCCAGCACGTCTCGCTCTCCCGAACAGGAGACACGAAGGGCTTTCTCTCCCGAGAGGCGATCTCTTCCCTCAAACCTCAGCGTTGATATGGTCACTGCTCCTCTGAACCTTCCCCCCAATCCCCCCAATTGTGGAGTCCTGTAGCTCAGTGGTTAGAGCACTCGCTTTGCAAGTGAGAGACCTGAGTTCAATTCCAGGCAGAGGGCGAAACCTTGGGCAAGTTTCCTTACTCCACACAGAGCCTAATAATAATCCCTTCAAAACCAAAAACAATAATAAATTGGTCATTTTCAATCTACGACTGTTTGTGGGACATTGCTGTGCGCAATTGGCTGCCGCGTTCGCCCACAAATATACAGTCAATTCATTTTACAGTGTGTTCTGTGAAGCGCTTTGGGACGTCCTCCCGACGTGAAAAGCGCTATATCAAATGCAAGGATTATTATAATCCTCACTCTTTCGGGCTATTGCTGCTCGCAGCATCCTCACAGCGTTGAAATCAACACCCCCCCACTCCGCACGCCTCTACCTCCCAATCCCTGTGCAAGTGTAGTGACTGTTTTTTTTTCTGCAAAGCAAACGCAATGCAATGCAATGCCCGTTGTGCACACAGCGACCTCCTAACGCCAAGAAGTGAAGGGCTTATTAATAAAGCTTGTTATCGGGGGACTGGTTTGCTTCAGGTCGTTGCCTTTGTTGTAGGAAAAAAACAGCAATGAAATGCAAATGTGCAGGTGGGGGCAGTGCGGTAAAATGTGCCTCCATTTGCCGGCGACACAGCAGCAGATTTCCTCCGCGCGGCCTCGAGAGGAGCGAAGGAAGGGACCGGGGCCGCGCCCGCGCCGGTGCCGGGGGATTGATTGACAGCTGCCGGGCGTCGCTGTGGCAACCGCCCGATTGACAGCTCCCCAGCCGTCCTGGGCAAAGGGGTGGGGGCAGCCCGGGGTCGCCCCGGCAACCCGCTTTTGATGGGCAGCTCGGCGTCGCCCCGGCAACCCGCTTTTGATGGGCAGCTCGGCGTCGCCCCGGCAACCCGCTTTTGATGGGCAGCTCGGCGTCGCCCTGGAAACCCGCTTTTGATGGGCAGCCCCGGCGTCGCCCTGGAAACCCCCGCCGCCGCGGCGCCAGGGCTGGCGCTCATGAATGGGTGACGTCACGGGGCTGGCGCCAGGCTGTCTGGAGCGGGGTCGGGCTGCGCGCTGATTGCTGCCAATACATCACCTGTCACAACCGGGGGCTTGTTTGCCCTGAGAAAACCAATGGGACCTGGATCAACACAGCTGGCAATGCACCCCCCCCCCCCCCCCACACACACACACACACCCCCACCCCCTTCCTCCAGATGTGCAAAGATTATGGGGTCTTTTTTTTTCCGCGCGGGGCGGTGGCGGTGGGTGGAAAGGGAAAGAAAGAAAGACTTTTTTTAAAAAAAAGAGTTGCAAAAAAGCACACGTTTGCAAAGCGCTCGACTTTGCACCGAGTGAAACTTTGCACCGGGAGGATAAGGGGGACACGGAGTGGGGTGGGGGGCGTGGGGGAGGTGGGGGGGGGTGGGGGGGAGAGAAGGCAACGAGGCGCTGCACCGAAAGTCAAAATGCAGGAGACTTTTAACGCGCAGATCCGAACGTCTGGCTGCATAAACAAAAGCTTTGCTGAGGGTCCCCAGCGCGCTATTTTTTTTCGGTGTGCGTGGGGGGGGGGGGGAGGGGGTAAAGCTGCATGCAATGCAAATGGGTAAATGCGTGCATTCAAATGCGGGATTATTCCGGTCGGGGGCTGGAAGGGTACGGTTTAAGGATCGCGCCGGGCTCTGGGGCACACGTTTTTAATGCGTCTCTGGAACTCCATCCCCCAGTGCCTTCGCCGCTTCCTCCCTCTCCTCCTTCAAGGCCGGTCTCAAGACCTTTCTCTTTGACCTTCAGCCTTCAGCTCCCCTCTCGACTCTCTTCCCCCTCCTCGCTCCCTCCCTTCCCTCCCCTCACCCTGACCATTTCCCCCCCCCAATGCTCGGGTCATGACCCAACTGTGCAGCGCCTCGGGACGTCCTCCCGACGTGAAAGGCGCTCTATAAATGGAATCTTGTTGTTGTTGTTGTTGTTTCGTAGAAGAAGTTGGCGCACTCTCTCTGCAAAGGGGCTTTGGGGAAGACAACACGAAGTTGAGTGAGATTTTCACCAGCGCAGCGCAGGAGAGAGCTGCGCGACACCACTCGGGAGGACAGCGGAGGGTGAAACGGCTCTCAGTCGCAACCTCTAACGCCAAACCACTTCCAAGTTACTACTTTTGTGTCCAGAAAATGCCCCCCTTTCCTTTCCTTTTATTCTCTGCTGTTCCAAGTTTGCAGTTCAACTAAAACATGGCTACTGGTCACTCCGCCCGGGCCGTGGGGTGGGGGGGGGGGGGGGGCGGAGCTGCGATTATTATTATCTTTAATTGCTGGGGGAATCGTTAGTCTGTGGTTGGAGACGTTTTCGTGTGTTTTTTTTCAAATAAAACTGCAATGGGGGTTGGGGGGTGACAGCAATAACGAAACAGAAGAGTGGTGTTTCGTATACGATAAGGGAGGGGTGGGGGGGGGGGGGGGGGGGGAGATGGGGAGGTTAACTGTGACCGTGAGTTCAACGCTTTTCAGTTCACATCCCTGTGGGAAGTTCCTATTAATGTCTGCGGTGACAGTACGGGGTAACGTGGGAGTGGAGGGGGTCAGGAAGGATGGTGTGATTTTAAATGCACAACACACGTAGCCTCTCTCTCTTACCCCCCCAACCCTCCCTCTCACCACCCCCCCACCCCTCCCCTCTCACCCCCCCACCCTCCCCTCTCACCCCCCAACCCTCCCTCTCTCCCCCCCAACCCTCCCTCTCTTCCCCCCAACCCCCCCCCACTCTCACCCTCCAATCTTAAGATGGGGCATGTGTGTGTGTGTGGGGGGGAGGGGGGTTGGGGGGTATGTGTGTGTGTGTGTGTGGGGGGGAAGGGGGGGTTGGGGGGGTATGTGTGTGTGGGGGGAGGGGGGGGGGTTGGGGGGTATGTGTGTGTGTGTGTGGGGGGGGGGGAGGGGGGGGTTGGGGGGGTATGTGTGTGTGTGTGTGGGGGGGGGGGGGGGAGGGGGGGGTTGGGGGGGGTATGTGTGTGTGTGTGTGGCAGTGCGTTTAAAAATCACACCATCCTGTGTGGTGTGTGTTGTTTGTGGAGCGTTTTCAGACGCTTTCGCTCAAAGGACAATAAGCGAAGGAATTTGCATTCTCAGCCGCTTTTTGCGGCAAATGTTCTCTTCCCTCCGCAGCCGCTTCCGCATTCCCTCGGCCGCCGACAGGGGGGGCGGGACGGGACGGGGGGGGGGGCGGGGGCGACCAATAGCGGAGGGCGTCTGTGCGGGGCTTCGGGGCTTTTTGAGCCGAGCGCTGTGATTGGCTGCAGCCGCTGTTATCGTGCGGTGCGGGAGGTGCGGGTGATCCACTCGGGGGTATAAATACACAACACCCCCCGCGCACACACCCCCTATACACACACATACACACGTACACACTCCCCAAACACAGAGCGCTCGTGTGTTTCATTGAGGGAGTGAGTGAGTGAGTGAGTGAGGAAGGAACGGATTCGAGAGGAAGAGTATTTTTTGTTGCGGGGGGTGGGGGGTGTGTGTGTGTGAGAAAGTTATCGCTCCGATAAATAGACGGGACTTCAGATTGCATTGCAAAAATACATTTGTGTTGCAATTATATACTTGATTGCATTTTTTAAAAAAAATAGATATATGTAAAAAAAAACACCCAATAATACCCTATTAAATAAAGTGAGCGGTCAGTTAGGAAGGGGGGGGGGGGAAGAGGGGGGAAAAAAAAAGGAGATGAAAGCCATCAGCCCCGTGCGCTCGGCCAGGGGTCGCTACCAGGCGCTCTGCTGTCTGTCGGGCATCTCCCGCAGCAAAGGGCCGGCGGAGGAGCCGCTGAGTCTACTCCGCGACATGAACGACTGTTACTCCAAACTGCGGGAGCTGGTGCCCAGTATCCCCCCCAACAGGGCGGTCAGTCGGGTGGAGATCCTGCAGCACGTTATCGATTACATCTTCGACCTCCAGATCGTGTTGGACAAACCAACGGGGGCAGAGCTGCAGGTATTCCCACTCCCGACTGCTCGGGATTAATATTGACCCCCCAATTAATTATCTCTGTCGCGTCGGTGCTGTGTGTGTGTGTGTGTGTGTGTTTTTTTTGGGGTGGGGGGTGGGGGGAGGATGCGGTGATTTAATGTCGTGCCCTTTTTTTTATATTTCCTCCAGAGGTCCGAGTTGTCAGACGAACTGCCGTCGGGACACCTCAAGGAATCGTCGGTGCACTGATCGACTGGAGACGCACTCACACACACACACACACTCACTCACACTCGATGGTAAGTGCTGGGGTTTCAATTCACTTCATTGGAAAGCGATGTGACTGACTGACCCTCTCCCCGTCCGTCCGGTGTCGGCGAGGGACGTCGTTCCGTGTTTTTTTTTCATTCAACTCTCACCCACTGGAGATTATAACGGGAATAAAAACTCTTCCCTGGGCGGTGAGCTCTGAAGTAAACCGGGTCTAAACCTGCCGAGAGGTGTTAAAGCGCCCGAAAAAAAAGTGTGTGTGTGTGTGTGTGTGTGTTTGAGAGTTGAGTGTGTTTTAAGTGTGTGTGAGAGTGAGAGTGTGTGTTTTGAGTGTGAGTGTGTGTAGTGAGTTGAGTGTTTTGAGTGTGCGTTTGAGTCAGTGTGTGAGGAAGTGTGTTTGAGTGTGAGAGTGAGTGAGAGTATGTTTGAGTGAGTGTGAGTGAGAGAGTGTATGTTTGAGTGAGTGTTTGAGTGTGTGTATGTTTGAGTGTGTGTGTTTGTGTGTGTGTATATTTGAGTGTATGTTTGAGTGTGTGTATGTGTTTGAGTGAGTGTGTGTGTGTATGTTTGAGTGAGTGTGAGAGTGAGTGTGTGTTGGAGTGTTTGAGAGTGAGTGTGTTTGAGAGTGTGTGTGTATGTGTTTGAGTGAGTGTGTGTGTGTATGTTTGAGTGTGAGAGTGAGTGTGTGTTGGAGTGTTTGAGAGTGAGAGTGTTTGAGAGTGTGTGTGTATGTGTTTGAGTGAGTGTGTTTGAGAGTGAGTGTGTTTGAGAGTGTGTGTGTGTATGTGTTTGAGTGAGTGTGTGTGAGAGAGTGAGTGTGTGTTTGAGGGGGAAAACGATCCGTTGCAGATGAGAATATTCACATTTTAACACATCCTCTTGATCCAATCTTCCATTTTTTTTTGCCGATTAATAACGATGGGTTTAAAGCAAAACCGGAGGGTTTGGCGTGTTTTTGCGGGTGAGGCTGGAGCTGGAGCTTCAGTACAGGACATTTGTTATTTTAATTTATTTGCGACGTGAGTGCAGCTGTGGGGGGACTGTCGGTCTGTTCCTCTATTTAAGTACCATCTCTCTCGATAATAATCTCCAAAGCAATTTTAGACCCATCTGCAAAGCGTTAAAGGGGACACAAGCGCTCTCTCTGTGCCCATTAGCCTCCTCCTGGGGGGGGGGGGGGGTTTGTGTGTGTGTGTGTGTTGCACACTTGTTTGTGTGTTGCAGACTGTGTGTGTTGTGTGTTGCAGACTTGTGTGTTGCAGACTGTGTGTGTGTGTTGTGTGTTGCAGACTGTGTGTGTGTTGCAGACTGTCCATGTGTTATCGGGAGGGGAGGGGAGGGTTGAGAGGTTCCTCGGTGGCGCCGGACTGTCTGCCCTGTGACTGACTGACTGACTGACGCCTTTTCCCGTTCAGCCCTCAGGTGTGGATCGCAACCGCGTTGGTTAAGAGAATGAGACACAGACAGAAGAGTCCTGGAAACCATCACACCACAAGACAGCTTGTCAAGAGGAGCGACCCCCCCCCCACCCACCACTCCACACCCACCCCCCACCCTCACCCACCCCCAGCACTCCCCACCCACCCTCACCCCCCCACCCAACCCCTCACCCCCCCACCCACCCCCAGCACTCCCCACCCACCCACCCACCCCCAGCACTCCCCACCCACCACCCACCCTCACCCCCACCCTCACCCCCCCACCCAACCCCTCACCCAACCCCTCACCCCCCCACCCAACCCCAGCACTCCCCCCACCTCCCCCCCACCCCCAGCACTCCCCACCCCCCCCAGCACTCCCCCCCCCCCACCCCCAGCACCCCCCACCCCCCACACTCCCAGCGCAACTCTCTGCCAAAAGACATTGACTCTTTATTTTGATGGACCAATGTGCAACTGGCATTAACCCATTCCAGCCCACATCGTCTCCCCAACCAATTCCGCATTCCCTCATTAGTTTTTTTTTGTAATGAAGCATTTGAAATGACATTTTATATAGAAAACAGGAAAAAGGACCAAAGGAGTATACGGGGGTGGGAGAGGCTTTCTCGGTTTAATCTTGACTGGAGAGAAAGAAAGTTCACACGTCGCCACGGATTTTGAACAGTTTTAATCAGAGCGGGAGGAGCGGGGACTGAATGTTTTTATTTGGGAGAATCATTATGTTTTTTTAACAGATAAGTTCCAGAACCACTCAGACCCGAAACCTAATGAAAAGTCAGATTTATCCGTGATACTTAATAATAATACTTGCATTTGATACAGCGTCTTTGAGATGCTTTGGAGGGCTTCACAGAATATATTGTAAAGTGTAGTGACTGCATACTTTGTGGGTGAAATCTGGTGACATTTGCTGTTGGATGAGATAGCCTCGTTTCCCCGCCCCCCCCCCCCCCCCCCCCAAAACACCTAACCCCCACCAAACTTGGCTCCGATTTGGGGGTCTAAAACCAGGAATCTTTCCCTCTCGGCCGGGAATTTGGGAAGTGTTAATTTTCCCACGTTGGAGAGCTGGCGGGGAAAAGCTCATTCAGGGCCTGGAGACCGTCAGGAGAGAGGCCGTATGATAAGAGTACTATATACTGTACTCAATGCGTTTGAGGCTGGTGTGGCCTGCGAACAGTTTATATCTTCTGACTTTTTATAAAAGTTTGTGGAAATGTACATTTTTACATAATAAAATCACATTTACAATTTTACTGTTTTTTCCTGTTTACTTTGGACTCTTTTCCGCCCCCCCCCCACCCCATTATAGTGCTCTTGTGTGGAGTTATGGTTCTGTCACAGCAGCGGTTAAGTGCTTTTTCCCAGGTTTGTAAAGGGGATATCGGACATGATGGACTCGCCCCCGATCACTATAACCTGCGTTTTCACACGGATTTTGTATGAACTCAGAATTAGAGATGCTATGATTATAACCCGTGGATGACACATGGATCCAGACCTCAGCTCATCATAGTCCTTATACCACACACACACCCCACCCCCAAGACAAATGCTATCCAAGCAGCACCTCTCAAAAGGTGCCATGTGTTGAAGGACCACCCCCCCACCCCAATCGAGGCCAGATATTTGTTGCTCAATTCGATAAACACAAAATTTCAACCCAAACTGATAGACGAGAAGCTGCCGGCTTGGGGGAGGACGGGGGTGGGGGTGGAATTGTTCCCAAATTCATTTTAGAATTGGCAGGCGTGAAACCGACAAAAGTGGGGGGGAAAAAAGTACAGAAATACGCAAGATTCTGGGGTATTTATAGCCCTCGCTATAAGCTGGGCTGTGTGAGTGGAAATCAGCCACTTGCTAACCCACGTGCCTGAAATTCCACCCAATCTCAGCCTATCCACCCTTTACTGTCTTTTAACATCTAACCAGGCAGAGTTGTGGAAAAATCTTTATTAAACAGAGTGAATTTGAAACCCGATCTAAACGTTAACACCGGATTTATGAATTTTCCACGACTGCACCAAAAGGTCTCGCAGACTGGAGACTGGGTGGAATTTCAGAGCTCTGGAAAGTTCTGGGTTTGATATCTATCTGTCTGTGCATCGCCCCCACACTCCTGCCAGGAAAATAAGAGGAAAAATTGTTCGTGTTCTTTTCAGTGGAAATTTGGAAACTTCCAGAACTAGATATGGTGTTTGGTGACATTTATTGCTGGAGAGCACAGCCCATGCGTGTGGGGCTGGCACCAGTGTCGGGCAATCTACATGTTCTTCACACGTCACTGTGTAGGGCACACACGTGTCTGTGTGGTGACCGAGTACTACCCTCACTCAAGTGGCAGTCGTTCCTGAGATCCTGCCGTCTTTGCTTCACCATTTACTAAAGCCGCAGGATGCTGGAAAATTCAACGGTCTTACTTTGGAAGGCAGTTTTAAAGAAGCGGCTCCCAAATTAAAACTGGAGAGTTTTCCACCATTCTGCACAATTTTTGCATTTCAAGGCAAAAAAAAAAAAGTCGAGGCTGAGACTGGGTAGAATTTCAAGCGTCTGGGCTTTTTGCTTGGCTTCTGCTGACCCCTTGTGGAATATTTAAGGATTCCTTGAACCCATCTGTGTCCGTTGGACCGCGTGAAATCTCAGCCTCTCGCTCCTATCTTTACCTGACCTCCAGACACACACACACACACACACACGCAGACCTGCAGCATCGGGTCTCTGGTTAGCAATCAGGAGCAGTAACCAAGGAAACTCATCTCCTTCGGATTATTTCTTTAAAAGCATCTTTATTTTTAAAGCAGAAATCTCAAAACAATTTAATATTTACAGATTTCCCCCCCACCCCAGCTCCCTGCCCCCACCTAACACTCGGGAGAAGCTTCACTCAGTAGACAACCTAACAGTTTGTGAGCCCCACCCCTGAGCCTATCGCTCACAGGCTGGACCGGGCTGTCTCGATACCTTTTTGAGCGTGCGTTTGGTCAGCCTCCTACCCACACACTCCGGCCCTCAACCCCTCTCGAGCTCATGTGCAAGCCCCTCATTGTCCAGCGCCTTGGTGCTATATGAAAGCAATCTGTTGGTGGTGGTGGTTGATGATATTACAGGAGCTGAATGTTCCAGACCTGCGTTGGCTTTGTCTCGCTGCTGCTGCAGATGATGGCGCTGTCCCGGTCATAACTCTTTCCACCTGTGCGAGCGTGATTCAGTGCAAGCAAGTGAGGGTGAGAGAATGAGTGTGGTTCAGTGTGAGCGAGACGGTAAGCGAGTATGGTTTAGTGTAAGGGAGTAAGCGAGTGAGTGTGAAGGGGTAAGTGAATGAGTGTGAGGAGGTAAGCGAATGAGTGTGTGAAAGAGTGAGGCAGTGAGCGTGAGGATGTGTGTGAGCGTGAGAGAGTGAAAAGGGAACGAGAAAGACAGTGTTAGCGGGGTTCACAGGAAAAGGTCTAACTGGTAAATCAGGGTCTCTGGCTGGACAGAAATCTACATCACCGGTGTCAACTCTCCTGGCTACATGCCTGACACCTTCTCCCCCACTCCTCCACTGACAACCCCTCTTTCTCGCTGTACTCCCCTCCCCACACACACACTCTCACACGGTCCAAGCCTTTCCCCTTCGTTCAGCACGAGTCAATTACTCACCTTTGATGTCGAGCACCAACTGAGGGTGCAGGATGCAACTGACTGGTCCATTGAACCCGAAATTCCAACAGTGCTTTGGCAGCCGTGTGTCTGACCAGATCACCACCTTGGTGCCGGTCGTGTCCACCGAGCCGATGGTCTGCAGGCTCATGTCAGGCGCCATCTGCGACAGAAAGCAAACTTGAGTGGACGACGGTCACCGTGGTGGGTGGAACAGGGAGGGAGAATGACTCACTCTGTGTGTGTGTGTGTGTGTGTAAGGGGGGAAGAAGAGGATGGCTCTGAGTGAGGGGCTGATGTGGGGAGTGTCATAGTACCACTCCGATGGTTTGACTTGTTTGGTGTCTGAGACACTTGACACGGTTACAAACACAAACACTGAGCCCCGGTTGCTCTGCAATGTCATTGCAGTGGTCAACACCGGCCCCTAGAGGTCTCCACAGACTGAGCTCTTTCTCTTCACACAAAGCCACAGGTGATAGGATTCTTCCACCTGCAACGCTAAAGCACAGTGATGGGTTTCCACATGTATCAGACACCCAGCTGAACTCCACAAAAATGTCACTATTATAAAAGGGAGGGGAGTTCCTGGCTGACAAATGCTCTGGAGAATCCAGTCGTTCACCTCATGCTGTTTGTGGGAGAGTGGGTTGGGTTGGTGGGGGGCATGGGGGTCTTGGCATAAACGGCTGCCGTGTTTGCCTGCTCTACACTCGATAGCAAATTCCTGCTCCGCCTGAGGAGCTGGCGGGCGACTCAGAGATGAGCGATGAAGAGAATTCTTTGTAAACCAGAGGCACGGACCTTGGGTTTGATCATTCCCTGATCGTAGAACCAGATTTGGTGAAGCTCCTTATTCTCCTTGGCCACCACCACACGGCACGACTTCATGTCCTCGTCATTAGCGTTGATGGAGAGAAACTCGTCTGTCTCCTGATTACGGATTTTGAAGTAGGCCCGTTTCTGTAGGAGGAGGTATAGGAACAAAGGGAATAATAATTATATACGAATTACTAGATGGAAAAAAAAACACCACGGTCCATCCAGTTCACCTTCCTGGCTGCCGCATGTTCTGAATTACTCACATACTGTACCCCAAAATATACAGGATGGGGGCAGGAGACAGACTGACCTGCACGATAGGGGCCAGGGAACCGATGCGGGGGAATTTGCTGTATTTGGGCCAGTTCGAGACCTCGTGAGGCTCCAGCAGCATCTGACGGCCACGGAAATGGCTGTGCTCGAAGGCCACCCACCTGCCGACGAGAGACAGAGAGTATGAGAGAGAGAGAGACAGTGTGTGTGTGTGAGAAAGACAATGTGAGAGAGACAGTGTGTGTGTGTGAGAAAGAGTGTGCATGTGAGAGAGACAGTGTAAGCGAGAGACAGAGAGAGTGTAAGAGCGAGGGGAGCAGCATTCGAGAGTGGAACTCATGACGGCTGTTCCAGAAATCGAGATTGGGAGAGGAAGGTCTGCACAAGTGAGACCCCAGCACTCACACTCCGCCTGTGACCCGCAATGACAACACCAGGTTATTGTAGCCAGCGCCGGCCAGACTCTTCACCTCTGAGGTCAGCTCAATCTCCTTCCCCTCAAAGGCCTCCAGGCTGTACAAGAGGATCTGGGGCTCAGAGAAAACCTGCATGGAACAGACAGTCAGCACATCCCTGGCACAGTCTGAAGAAAACACGTATACAACGCGAAACTCACAGACTCGTAGAGTAGTGGTTAGAGACCTGGGAGCCATTGACATATGACGGCACTCACGTAAGGGATGGTCTTGGCGGATCTGATGTGTGTTGTCATACGGCAACCCATGGATGGCAGGTCTGGGTACTCGCCCTCTTCTACCACAAACATGTTTCCAGTGAAGTCTTGGTTCTCATACAGCGCCCAACTGGAATAGAGCACCATGGGGTTACACCTAAGCATTGTCCAGTTACCCTTCCTGCACTACATCGGTTATTGCCCACTGGTTACACTCACCCATCACCTCCCCCTCATCCTCCCCCACCCCCACCCATACCTGCCGTTAAGCACTCGACACGAGTTCATCTTAAAGTCTCGGGCAATCATGGGCTTGTCCTTGTCGAAGAGCAGATTGTAACCATTGAAATCGTATTCAGAGAACAGCTGGATCTGCGGAGAGATTGGGGAAACTGCTCAACAACTGGCCATGTGTGAGAGAGAGAATGGGAGCTGGGTGGGTGAGGGGTGTGGTGAGGGGAGAGGGGGAGAGAGATAGAGAGAGGCAGAGAGAAAAAAAAGAGAAAGAGAGAAAGGCTGAGAGACAGAAAAAGACAGAGAGAGATGAAGAGAGAAAAAGAGAGCAAGCCTACTGCGAGGAACCTAGAAGATGCTCACCCCTCTTTCCTGAAATGCGCGGCTCGACCCAGTGCTGGATGTTGCTCAGCAGCGAGCGTAGTTGTGGGAGAGGGAGAAGGGGGTAGAGGGGGAATGTGAGAGAGTGCAGACCACTCGCTCCTGTGTGCGAGCGAGACAGACCACCAGGAAGACAAAGGGGAGAAAAACCACGTGTAGTCAATCACAACATTGTCCTACCTTGAGCTGCGCCTGTGTGACTTCTGTGTCAGCCTGTAAACACACACACAGACACAATCGTCATGAGTTAAACACTCGGTCGCAATATTTCAATCAGATTCCACCCTCCTTCTCTTCTGCAGTGTGAGCACCATCACGGACACGATGGGGGAAAGCAGGAAATGGGATTGGAGTAGAGAGCTCTCGTGGAGAGCAAGCACCAGCACAAACATGATGGGCTGAAGGGCTGCCTCGTGTGCTGTGCTCTCAATGACTCCAGGGTTTACAAAACAACAACTTGAATTTTTACAGCGGGCTTCAGACGAGACAGTGTTTCAGGGCGCTTACCAGCAGTATGGGGTGCAGAGAGCTGATTTTGCAGGATTTGGCGCCCCAATCCTCAGGATGACGATAAATTCCTTTCTCCAGAATGTACTGAGGACCGGAGTAGTACACACCTTCATACGCCACCCACCTGCAATGGGAACCAGCCAGAGCTCAGGGGAGAAAGCAAAGTGACAATGAGGGATGGAGGTTGAGGGGAGAAGAGGAGCGAGGGAAGGAGAGCTAGCGAGCGAGTTGCTTACACGCCGTTCTGCACATTGATGGACTGCGTTATTGCTTCGAAGCCGATATCTTTCAGGTCTGGGACGGAACCCATCACATTGACACACTCAATGGGAACCAGCCAGAGCTCAGGGGAGAAAACAAAGCGACAGTGAGGGATGGAGGTTGAGGGGAGAAGGGGAGCGAGGGAAGGAGAGCTAGCGAGCGAGTTGCTTACACGCCGTTCTGCACATTGATGGACTGCGTTATTGCTTCGAAGCCGATATCTTTCAGGTCTGGGACGGAACCCATTACATTGACACACTCCCCTTCCTCACAGTTGACCTCATTGTACAAGACCAGCGCGGGATTGGCAAAGTCCTGCAGGAAGAATGTTAAGAGCTTGGAACAACAGGCGGCATTAACGTGGCACGGCATTCTGCACGGCACAGCACGGCATTACACAGGCCAATTATAGAGGAACCTGCATTTTATATCACCCGGTGCAACTGAAAAAAACTCAAAGCGTCTCAAGGTAATTACTGACTCATTTAGTGACTGTCAGGATTTTCGGCCAGAACACCCTGAGGATCTCCCTTCACATTTCTGCTAAGATTGTGGTACCCTTAATGTCTGCCTGAGACGGCAGGCAGGAGCTATGGTTAAACGTCCTTGAGTGAAGATTGGGGCCTTTGATAATCCTCCCCATCTCCATCCTCATCGCACCCACTCTTCCCAAGGCCCGCTGTTAGCCTCAGTAAACCACTTACTCCACGAATGAGCCGTAGTGATTTGAGCTCCTCGTTAAAGCCGCCCCAAGCCTGCCAGTCCTGGTATTCGCCCTCCTCCAGTATGTACTGCTCCCCACGGAAACCTTCCTTCGAATAGCCGACCCAACTGGACACAACGGAATAAAAGGCAATGGTCATCCAATGGCATCCAGTATCTCTGGGCTGCCATTGAAGGCAGTGTCTGCTCCTTTAGTGCCACATGCCCCCACCCCTGGCTCTACCCCCACCCCTTGACACGCCCTCACACGACCTCTTGCGCTACCCCTCGCCCTACGTGCCCGCCTCCAGCCCACACTCACATTCCTCCGATCACCTTGATAGAGCCGGCGTTCATAATGGGCTGGTTGTTGTTGGGGTACCGGGACAGGAAGTCGGTGGAGTCACTGTACGACTCCCGGCGTCGCCCCGAAAAATACGATTTCTCGTAAAGAATAACCTACCACCACGAGAGGAGACGGTGAGTCATCTGACACACTCCATCCCCACACACCCCTCCGTGCACACACACCCCTCATACCCCCCCACCACACACCCCTCCCCACAACCCTCCCACCCTTCCCCCCCTACACACACCCCTCTCCACCCACATAACCCTCCCACTCTGCACCCCCACATACCACCCCCATATACCTAGAGCTCCTCCACACACACACTTCCCACGCACATACCCACACTCGCACAGGACCCCTCCCACATTGACAGGTGTCTGTACCTTGGGTTCGTACAGCTTCTCCACACAGGGCCCGCCCTGAAAAACAGACACAGAATGAGACCAGGACAGCCCATCAGGTTTAACATCACGGCAAAATCTGCAGCGTTTAAACTTGGAAGAAAGCTCTCATTCTTAACTATCTCCCAGGCCGAAAATACTCAACTATAAGAAGCAGAATCATTTAGTGGAATCACCGTTTCAAAATTTGACAGGGGCTCTTTGTATGTTAGGAACAGGAGTAGGCCATTCAGCCCCTCGAGCCTGTTCCATCATTCTATAAGATCATGGCTGATCTGTACCTCAACTCCAATTACCCTTCCTTGCACCATATCCCTTGATATCCTTACTTAACACATATCTATCCACCTCACTCTTGAAAATTGTAATGGTTCCAGAATCCACAGCCTTCTTAACACTACCAATAAAGGTCTGTGCAGGTGAACCGTCACTCTCAAGGCTGAGTCTGGTCAAAAACTCACTCAGAACTACAATGATCCAGGACGGCTGGAATGCACTTCATCATCATGTAGATTACATTTTTACAACTATGAAGTCATACAAAAAAGTATTTTAAATATGTATTGTTTCACATAGTTCAAAGGAGGCCCCCCCCCACCCCCAAAGTGATCTGCTTTAGGGCGACTCTAAATCTGGCCCTGATTCCCGCTCCCAAGCTCCCACCCCAGCCCTCGGGTGTCAGTGGGAGACAATGACAGGGTATTGATGAGGTGTGTGTGAGGAGCGAGTGATGGAGGGAGGGACCAGGTGTGTGTGGGAAGAGCTCTGCGTCTGTACCATTTGTAGAGGCAGCAGTGATCCCACGTGGTCGGTCTCTCCGCCCCATTCCTGGAGATTCCGGAAGCCGCCAAGCTCCAGGACACATGCCTGTCCCTCAAAGAAAGGTTCACAATACACCAGCCACCTGGGGAAAGAGAGCAGTCAGCGCGGGCCAAAGCCATCCGACCTCAGGCCTTCATCTCCCATCCCCAGACTCTTCGCACACAATTGCCGTCACGTAGACTAATTGGTTTATTTGTCAGGGTATGCAGCAGCTGTTTTGCAAGCTCTACACTCAGCCTTGAGGCGAGAGAGTGAACAATCTATCCGAGCCAGGAAACCGGGAGACAGAAACTCCCTGTTCTTTTTGCGATAGCCTCGCAGGATGTTTAAAGTCCAACTGAACAGGCGCAGACGGGACCTGGATTTCACGTCTCATTTGAGAGACCGACAGACACGGAAAGAAAAAGAAACAACGAATGAAAGAACGAACGAAGAGCGAGAGAGAGGTGTGAGAAAGGGAGAAAGGGAGGTGTGGGGCACAGAATGATGTTATGGCCTCAGTGACTGGGTTACTTACAGGCCTGAGTTGACAATAATGGAAGCTGTTTTTGGCTGGTACCCAAAAATCCGAATATCCTCAGACTCTTCACAGAACATCAGCTTCCTGCCCTCTCCATTGGGCTCAGCGAACAGGCTGATCTCCGGAGCGCTGTATTGCTGAACAAAAAGTTACACAACTCGGGTGAACTACAAGTCTCTGGCAATTCCACCACCTACGTCGCTGTAAATAGCCCCAGCCAGGAACCCAGCCTCTCGCCCGGCGCTCACCAAAGGATTTTTCTTAATTAAAAATTTCAATAAGAAATCTAAATTTTTCTAAATTAAGATGAAACAGACGTTGAGGTTCTGGCATCACTGACCTTGATAGCTCTCTTGAGGGAGCCAATGGTGACGGGTTTGGTGGGAACCGCGTCTGCTGTGGGCTCTTCATCACCTTTCGTAGGCTCTGCCCAGGGGTCTGTCAGCTCCACTTCTCCTTCTTCAAACGCAAACTTCTTCCCCTTATAATCCGCCTTCTCATAGGCCACCCAGCTAACAGAGAGAGACACAAGATTGTGGTCAGCTGCTTCCCACAATCCGTGCCATCGATCCAGCGTCTTCTAGACGTCTCGGACTGCTTTACAGGGAACTGTTAGCATGTATAGTGACTGTGCAGTCTGCAGGGAGACATGGCGGCCAAGATCCGTTACTGTAAAGCGCTCTGAGACACCGTCCGGCATGGAGGGCACTATATAGATCCAAGTTGTTGTTGTTGTTGGCCATGAAACTCTGACATCAGCACGTCAGCGCACACCAGGGTTTGGAGCCTGGGAGCTGCTCAGGCCTCAGTAATCCCCCGCTTAGTGCCTCTACCGGTTGGACTATACAGGTGGCCCTGTGCCAGCCTGTTAAAAGGATATTCTTTCCAGCTGTCTTATACAATGGATGTAGTGGAGAAGTGCAGAGGAAAGGAGGGGTTTGGGGGGGAGGGAGAGATCAGAGGAAAGAAAGAGACAGCGATGAGACCGCCTCCACTCACCACCCTCGCACCACCTTGATCGAGATGACAGGTGGAAATGTCCACCCGCTGGAGTCACTCACGTCCGCCGTGATTTCTTTCTTGTACCCAGTGAAGTTGGCATTCTCGTAAATAATAATCTGAGGGCAAGCAATGGATTTGGTTATTGGACTGGCGATTACACAGAAGCCCCTGTCGTGAGCCAGTCAGTGGTGTGTAACTGGCTTCGCTGGTTGGTTGCTTCTCTCATTGTATTATAGACGTTAACAGCAAAGGCTGAACAAGCTTGGACTGTTTTCCCTTGAAAAGAGAAGGGTGACCTAATACAGGTCTTTAAAGTTATGAAAGGTTTTGACAGGGTAGACATAGAGAAGATGTTTCCACTTGTGGGGGAACCAAAACCAGGGGCCATCAATATAAAATAGTCACCAATAAATCAAATGGAGAAGTCAGAAAAAACTTCTTTACCCAGAATGTGGTGGGAATGTGGAGTAGTTGAGGTACAAGAGTAGTTAAGCCGGATAGCATAGATGCATTTAACGGGAAGCTATGTAGGCACTGCCTATCACCACCTCAGGCTGCCGAAACCTTCACCCACGCATTTGTCACATCAAGGCTCGATTATGGGAACTCCCTCCTCATCGGCTTTCCCAACTCTTCCCTTCACAAGTTGCAGATCATCCAAAAATCTGCAGCTCGTGTACTCTCAAGCACCAGATTCCGTGACCCCATCACTCCCACCCTCGCCCGACTCCAGAGGCTTCCTGTCCCCCAGAAGATCGAGTTCAAGATCCTCGACCTCACCTTTAAGGCCATCCATGGCCTTGTCATGGGACGTCCTCCCGACGTGAAAGGCACTCTATAAATGTAATTTTATTGTTGTTGTACATGAGGGAGAAAGGAATAGAAGGTTATGCTGATAGGCTTAGTTGAGGAAGGCAGAAGAGGATCATGTGAAGCATAAAGCTAGCATAGACCAGTTGGGCTGACAGGCCTGTTTCTGTGCTGTATATTATATGTAATTCTAGGAACCTTCAAATTGGTTTAAGCAGAAACCAATCTGGTAACTATTTCTGTAATCAGCCCTGTCCAATTTCCTTAAGAGACAGATATGCCTAATCTACACCAATGAATTCACACCCAGTGTGAAACTTGCCCGTATGACTTCATGCCAAAGTTACAATTCCTCCAACCTGTTCAAGAAACATTTGATATTCAATTCTTAACACAATCAAAGCAACCCAACTGCATTCCAGGGATAATAACTTCACTGTATCACAGAATCTATTGCATAGAATGAGGCCATTCAACCCATCAGGACTATGCTGATACTCAACTGAAGTTCAGGACCTTCTGGTCCCCCTACTGGAGCTCTCTACTCTAATCCCATTCCCCTGCTTTCTCTCCATTGTGTCTGTGCTGGTGCTCTCTCCCCATCTGGAGCTCTCTACGCTAATCCCATTCGCTGCTCTCTCCCTATCGTGTCTGAGCTGGTGCTCATTTCATTTTGTGTTGTTCCTCTTCATATATTTGTCCAATCCCCTTATTAAATATTAGGAATATAGGAATTAGGAGGAGTAGGCCATTCGGCCCCTCGAGCCTGCCCCGCCATTCAATAAGATCATGTCTGATCTTCTAACCTATTTCCATCTGCCCAACTTATCCCACAATCTCAGTCTTGAATATGCTCAAGGACTGAGCATCTACAGCCTTCTGGGGTAGAGAATTCCATAAATTCACTATCCTCTGATGAAGAAGTGTTTCCTGAACTCTGTTCGAAAAGGCTAACCCGTAGGCTGACCTAAGGACTGTGATCCTTAGTTATAGATTCTCCTATCAGGGGAAACAATCTCACACTGTCCACTTTTTAAAAAGTTTGGTTTTAAAAAAGTTTTTTGTTTTGTTGTTGTTAAGTGTTTTCGTTAGATCTACGTTTTCCCTGGTTCAGATGTTTTAAGTATGACGTCACGTTGATGTCATTTGTCCTTTTTTCTACAGTTCCCTGGCTTCGCTTCACTCCGCCCAGCTCCGCCCCACCCAGGCCCCACCCTGCCCCGACTCGATAGTATGGGCTCAACCTCAGTAATTATTTGTGGCCAAATATTGTGTAATCCTCTAACCCGGCAACCTTTAATCTGACTTTCCTGCTAACTCTTCCAGTGACGATCCTGACACAGTGTTCTCTTGTCATCCACTTGGCCATGGACAGTAAGTATTGATTCAGATAAAGGAGGTCAAATTTCAGCAAGAATGAATAACTTGGATCAGTTGTGCAGGATGGTCCAATTTGTGGCAAATGCAGTTCAATGTACCCTACCTACCTGCCCGTACCCTCCGTTCCTCTGGCTCCGGTCTGCTCCACATCCCCCGCCCCAACCGCCCTACTATCGGTGGCCGGGCCTTCAGCCTCTCAGCCCATAGGCTTTGGAACTCTATCCCCAGTGCCTTCGCCTTACCTCCTCCCTTTCCTCCTTCAAGGCCGGTCTCAAGACCTTTCTCTTTGACCGTGCCTTCAGCTCCCCTCTCGACTCTCTACCCCCTCCTCGCCCCCTCCCTTCCCTCCCCTCACCCTGACCATTTCCCCCCCAATGCTCGGGTCCTGACCCAACTGTACAGCGCCTTGGGACATCCTCCCGACGTGAAAGGTGCTCTATAAATGGGATCTTGTTGTTGTTGTTCAATGTGGAAGAATGAGTAAGAAAGCAAAATAAGGTGGTACGTATGTGTGATCGTGTTGGATGAAAGCAGCCCATTACCTTGCCCGGTCTGGGATTGATTTTTCCCTGTTCATGCAGCTTGGATTTCTGAAATGGAGAAAGAACATTGCTGATCTTTGGACAAATCAGAGCTTTTTATTTCACGAAAACAACCTATTGTGTTGATTCCGCTTCCGAAGCCACAGTTGTCTGTGGTGATCCCCGCGACACTCAGTCACTCCCTCCCTCCCTCTGAACAATCCAGAATTGTGGGTCTTTCCTCCCAGCACAAACCAATAGGTGTGGGGTGTGGGACACAGCCAACAATTCAGTAATGATCTGAATTGGAATTTAAAAATTCCACCTGTGCTTTTTGCTCCTCCCAGATAGGAAAGCAATAAGTCATCAGTGCGGGGGTATCACAAACATTGTCTCCTTGTCTCTCATCTCACGCCCTTTCTAGGTAGAGGGGAGGGTGGATGTTTCTGGAAACCAAAAGCATCTATGTGGTTTTAGCTAGTTAGACTCCAGCTCGTTTAGTTACCTCAATGCACACTCTGGGGTCCCCAAGCCTTAGTTCTTGTCATTCTGCCCCAATATTTCTGGAATTAGGTAAGCAGGATGCGTCCCTCCAGGGAAAGAGTGCACATTTTATTTCAACCATCTATCTCTGGGATTTCCATGTGTAGGTGGGAAGCATGGAAATCTCAGTTTTGTTTGGATAATCTTATTCAGAGTTGTGGATTTCTGCATGTGTCAGACCCGGATGACAAAAAAAAAATTCCCTTTCCCGAGCAGAGGAACGAACCAATGGCTTGTTTGCTTCGAGTCCATGTGCTATGGTTACTCCTGTCCTGTCCATCCTTTTGGGCACCATTGCCGGGGCCTGAGATCATTTCACAGTGTGACTGAGCGTGCTATCAGCTCACTCGAACTACAGGTTTTCCAATGATTCAATCTGATTCAAGCTGTAAATATTCTACATTCTTCCTCCCCAGGTGTGTCACATAATCTGTGTCTGCCTTTCAACTTTAAGATCATTAAAAAGTCTCTCTCTGAAAAACATTGATCATGTTATAGATAAGCTGCCATTCCCCTCCCTCTGCTGTCGAAGGCGAGTCAAGCCCAAGTGAAGTGTAACGAGGCGCTTCACTCAGGCAATGTTCACTTATGAGGAAAACCTCGTGCTATTTTCATTGGAACAGAGAAGTTTGAAAGGAGGCTGGACAAAAATGCTCAAACTTAGGACAGGTTTTGAAAAGTTAATTATACAGTTCTCGCCCACAGTTTTGGGAACCGCAAAAAAACAATTTTGTCCATAAAGTACACAAGTAAATCCACTTTACAATAGATTCTGTGAATCGCTCAACAATGTGATAAGGTGCTATATCAAATGCAAGGATTATTATCATTTACTATTATTAAATGGGTCAAACTATTTCCACTAATTGAAGAGAAAATTTATAGTCTTGCGGGAGTGGAGGATAGAGGGGTACAGGAGGTGTGGGGGGTTCATGTGGAGTATAAAAACAGCATGGACTAGATGGGCTGAATAGTCTGTTTCCGTTCTGTAACGTTTCATGTAATTCCATATGGTTAGTGAGCACTGATCTAAGATCTAAAACCACAAATGGATTCAGTTTTGCGAACAAATAAAATTCCTATTTCTCCTGTAAATCAAACAAGCAATGGAAAAGGCTGTTTCACTGGTGGCTTTAATCATAGTGTAGGGGAGGGTAGGCGGGCACTGATGGGAGGAGATGACACTGTGGAAACACCCTGAGATTGCGCGATGGAAATGTTCAGGCTGGTTACTCACCTGTGCAGTTGGAAAAGGATTCACCTTAGGGGGTTGTTTAGTAGGGGGTACCTGGTGCTCCAGATTAGTGGTTAAGAATGGAATGTCGGGTTGAAGGTTCAGATCGGTTCTGGGGATGGTCATGCTGTCTGTCCTCAGCCAGTCGGGGGCAGTGAATGGCAAATTCAAGCCTGGACTCTCCATAAAACGCCCATTGAAGGAGCTGGACAATGCAGGAGTCGTTGGGAGCTGATCCGAGAAGGCCATTACTTTACTGATGTCCTCTTGCGATTGGCTTCTGTTGGCTAGCTTTGGTTTGGCTGGTGACTCAATCGGTGAGCCACTTGCCAGGCGTGATTTTCTGACCAGCTCCAGGGAGTGGCTGGAGAAGGTGTCCCCAGGCTTCCTGTGGTCAGACAGGGCCGTGCTACTGTCCATCCAGGACCATCGGCTTTTCCCGTTGATGGTTTCCTTATTTTCTGCCTTCTCCACGGGCTCCACCTTCGTGCGAGTGAAGAGGTTGGATTGGAAAACAATGCTGTTCTCTGCCGATGCTCGCTGCAGGCCGACCTTGGGCTTCTCCTCCAGCTGCCTCTTCATCATCTGCCCAGGGGTCAGAATCTCTTTCTTCGTCGATGTCTTTAGGAAATCCATCGAGATCAGAGGGGAAAGGGTTGGGGTCAGCGAGACTGGCTGAGGTTGCTCAGCTGAGATTTTCTCCCTGGGAGCCTCATTCTCTGCAGCAAAAAGAACTTCAGATTCCTTTGAGGAAGCCAGATCTTCTTCTATCGGAGCCAATGTGGAAAAAGACAGAGAGGTCGACCTCTGAGGTTTAGAAACTTTGTTACGTCTCACAGGGGAGTCCAAGCTGCGAATGGCATCTGTGAACTCTTGTATTTCCGAAGACTTTTCAGGGCTCTCGGACAAACACCCAGGTCTTGTTTTCTGAAGATCTTGGGTGAAGATTTCACCTGACAATGCATTAGTCTCAGCATTACTTCCAATTACCCGGAGGGAATGCTCAGCACTTGCCCCCAGTTGCTGGTCGGGTTTCAGGTTGTGACCCGGAATACTTCCATAAGTGAAGGAAGGGCTCCGAGTAATTTGGGCATTGATATTTTGTGTTGGAGACTTTGCCTCAGAGGCATACGGAGAGTGAATGGAAGAAAAATTACGATTTTCCTGTAATAAGCTCTGTTGATTGACAGCATTTGCCATTGGATTCAGATTTCTTAGCAACCTTGTCTCATCCTGAGCATAATGTTGAGACAGATTATCTTGGGTGTGGCCTACCACAACGGGCGAGTATACAGTACTATCGTTTCCAATACTTGTTCCAGGGCTCTTCATCTCATCTTTCCTTTTATCCTCTGGACTCTTACAGTCTCCATTCTGAACACGCCCTTCATTTTTGATTGAGATTTTGTAAGCTTTGGACTTTAATTCTGAGGTATCGAGGGATGGTAAATCCACCTTGCCTTCTTCTGTCTGTCTGATGTTTGGGGCACTCTGTGTGGTCTGGTACTCTGTGCCGACCTGAGCCATCAAAGCACTGGGACCAACCGAGACTTGGGGAGACTGGTGTAACTGTACACCGGTGTGACTGCTCCAGTATCGGGAAGTCCTCGCTTTCAGTTGGTTGTTGGTCATGATGGGCAGCATTGTGGCCGCTTCTTCCCCTTCCTCCTTCACCGGGAATCCGGCCCGCCTCTCCGCTGCCGGCAGGGAACTGTCCAACAGTAAGGCACCCCCACTACTGGAAAAACAGGGAGACACACTACATTTACAAAGGAATTAGGGAACAATTATAGACAGACAACGCAACAAGAGAAGGAGCAGGGAATGGGATTAGAGAATTCCAGTGGGGGAGCGAGCACCAGCACAGACATGATGGAGAGAGAGGAGGGAATGGGATTAGAATAGAGAGCTCCAGTGGTGGGACCAGAAGGTCGTGGACTTCAATTGAATTCACTCTTCTATTGAAATGCAGAAACCTGCGCTCACAGCACAGGACGCAAGGTTTAAAAGACGAAAGACAATAAGATAAACAAAGAATTGGTGTTGAGGTTACACTGCACTTAAGTCTTGAAAGTCGCTAAAGGTAGAAGGGAGCAGGGGAGTGCGGAGGAGCTAGGCATTTAACACGTTTTCAATGCAGAGATGACCAGGCAAGATTCGGATATGTACGTTGGGAGAAATTCTTACCAGAGCGTGTAAACACGATCACAAAATACACAGTCAATCCACTGTACAAATATATTCTGTGAAGTGCTTTGAGACATCTCAACGGCATGATCAGGTGCTATATAATAATAAACTAACCCTTGCATTTGATCACACCTTATCACGTATTTAAGTGGCAATGTAAATTGCTGTTGCCTGAAACTTCACTTTACCCCAAAGGGGGTAAAATCCCACCGAGATTTACTCTGCTAACTGGACACATCACAGCAGTACAGTTTACCAACTGCTGAATTCCGCAGTCTGGAGTTGCCAATAAAAACAGTCTTGGGATTCCTGTTCGTGTCTTGGTTAGAGCGCTTCTCTCTATTCTCAGTTGGGGCAAAAACTTGGGCAAGTTTCCTTACATCTGTTTGCCTCGCAGTAAGTTGGAAAACGGTCACTCATTCCACGACTGCCTGTGGTACACTGCCGCGCACAACTGGTTGTTGTGCTTCGCCCATAAAATACACAGTCAATTCGCTTTACAATGTGCTCGGTGTAGCACCTGAGACGTCTTGACAACCAGATAAGGCGCTGTAGCTCAGTGGTTAGAGCACTCGCTTTGCAAGCGAGAGACCCGGGTTCAATCCCAGGCAGGTCAGGGCGAAACCTCGGGCAAGTTTCCTTACTCCACACAGAGCCTAATAATAATCCCTCCAAAAAAAAAACCACAAGAACAATAATAAATTGGTCATTTCAATCCACGACTGTTTGTGTGGGACATTGCTGTGGGCAATTGGCCGCCGCGTTTCGCCCACAAACATACAGTCAATTCACTTCACAGTGTATTCTGCGAAGCGCTTTGGGACGTCGAGAAGACGTGAACAGCGCTCTATCAAATACAAGGATTGTTATTCATTATTATTATTATATCAAACGCCAGAACCCCTCCGCTCTCTCTCTCTCTCTCTCTCTCACTCACTTCAGACTGAGCCGCAGTTAAACCGCAGCGACACCAGTTTGACACCGATTTTAAAAAAAAACAAAAACAGGACGTCGGGGTCGTCGGTCTTCACACCGTATTCCCGATGGGGGGTCTCTCGAACCGTTTAAACCGAACGCAAACTTTTAAAAAAAAAGAAGAAGAAGAGAGAGGAATAAACGAAAACCCCTCCAAAAAAAAAAAAACAGTCACTTAACCGTCACGGGGTTTGCTTCGGCTGCGGTGGTGGTGTTTTTGCTGCGGTTACAGGTGCGAACGTGCGCGGGACTGACTCACTGACCCACCGTGCGGGTGCGGCTGCGGCTGCGGGTGCGGTGCGGGTGCGGCGCGCGGGATCCTCTCCGGCGAAGGCTCCGGTCCGCGGCGGCGCTGTCGGTCGGTCGGTCGGACGCGGCCCCGCGCCCTGTGGGTGAGGTCCCCGCCCGCGGTCCGGGTTTTGTACTCCGGCGGCTCTGGGCGTTTCCCGGACGCGCTCCGCGGCGTCAGCGACCAGTGGTTCAACCCGCATTTCCAGTTTGCGGCTCTCGGAGCCGCCGGTGCGCACTTGGCTGCGGGGAGTGCGCGGAGCCGCCGCGGGTACGTCCCCCATCGCCATCGCCATCATCGCCGTCTCCCCCTCCGCCTCCGCCTCCCCCCGGGACAGAGTAATAGTTATATCATATTTCCTCGTCGTCTTCCCGGCGGGTGCGGGGGGGACGGGGCGGCTCTCTCTGCGGAGGGGGTTTGCGGAGAGGCTGAGATTGGGCCACTCTGAGGCGACTGCGAGTCGTGTCCTCCTCCTCCTCCTCCTCCTCCCCCTCCTCCCGCTGTGATGGCTGTGGGGGCGGTGGTCCCGGGGGGACCCTGAGCCCGGCCCCGGGGGTCCCCTCTCCTGTCCGTCCTCTCCTCTCCTTCCCAAACTTCAGCGACGTTTCCTCTCCGCAAGTCGCACTCTGAGACGCTGCGCCAACGCTTCTGTCACAGGAGGAGGCGAAGGCTGAGGGTGAACGCTCTCCACACACTCACTCACACTCACACACACACTCACACACTCACTCACCCACACACTCACACACTCACTCACTCACACACCCACTCACTCACACACACTCACCCACACACCCACACACTCACACACCCACTCACACACTCACACACCCATACACACACTCACCCCCACACACACACTCACACACTCACTCACACACACACACACACTCACACACCCATACACACACTCACCCCCACACACACACCCACTCACACACTCACTCACACACACTCACTCTCACACACTCCCACATACATCCACACACTCACTCACACACCTACACACTCACACACCCACACACATTCACACATTCACACACCACACACACCACACACACACATCCCCCCCACACAACCACACACAACCACACCCACCCATACACACCCACACACACCCATACACACCCATACACACCCACACACACCCATACACCCCCCCCCCCACAGCTGAGACTGATACCAAATACAAGGATTATTACTATAATCTTTAATGTAATCCTTGCATTTGGTATAGTGCGTTGTCATGACATTGAGACGTCTCGAAGCGCTTCACCGGAAGATACAACAACGTTTATGAAGTGCCCTTCACGTGGTGTAGCGTCCGGTCATCTACTATCAAGTGAATCAACCGGATATTTTGTGGACGGAACGCGGCAGCCAATTGCGCAGAGCAGTGTCCCACAAACAGTTGTGGATTGAGTGACTTTTTTTTGAGGGATTATTCCCTCCAGAAGGCCATCCATTCAATCGGCCAACAACTGGGTTCCTACTTACTTCTTATTATAATTATTGTTTTGAAGCCCAGAATGGAAGGAAGGAGAGCTTCACATTATTAATTAACTATCTATCGGGAGTTGCCTTTGACTACTCTACTGCATGGTAATAATCTTTCTGCCCTGACTCTTTCTCTCTGACTTTCTCCCCATCTTTCATTTCTATGACTATTTGTCTCTGACTCTTACATCACACTTCACAATTTTAAACTATATATGGAGTCCTGTAGCTCAGTGGTTAGAGCACTCGCTTTGCAAGCGAGAGACCTGAGTTCAATTCCAGGCAGAGGGCGAAACCTTGGGCAAGTTTCCTTACTCCACACAGAGCCTAATAATAGTCCCTCCAAAACAAAACAATAATAAATTGGTCATTTTCAATCTACGACTGTTTGTGGGACATTGCTGTGCGCAATTGGCTGCCGGGTTCGCCCACAAAAAATACAGTCAATTCACTTTACAGTGTGTTCTGCGAAGCAGTGTGTTCACGTCCTCCCGACGTGAAAAGCGCTATATCAAATGCAAGGATTATTATTATAATAATTTATAATAATAATAATTGTTGCATTTGATACAGTGCTTTTCACGTCTTCTCGACGTCTCAAAGCGCTTCACAGAATATGCTGTAAAGTGAATTGACTGTATATTTGTGTGAAATGCGGCAGCCAATTGTGCACAGCAATGTCCCACAAACAGTTGTGGATTAAAAATAACCAATTTATTATTATTTTTATTTTTTGGAGGTACTATTATTAGGGGTGTGGAGTAAGCAAACTTGCCCAAGGTTTCGCCCTGCCTGAGTATACTAATCAATTGGACAAGCATCTTGGGACAACAACAACTTGCATTTATAAAGCGCCCTTGTTTTCAACCATGCCTTTGGTCTCCCTCCCACCCCTCTGCCTTCCCTCACCCTGACACCACCCCTCCCGCATGCTCGGGCCCCGACATCTGACTGTTCAGCGCTTTGGGACGTCCTCCCGACGTGAAAGGCGCTCTATAAATGTAATTTTTTTGTTGTTATTCACATGTCCTCCTGACGCAGTTTGTTGTTGTTGGACTGCAAGATTTGTTAGATTAAAAATCTACAAATCAGTGATTGAAGAGCAAACAAAGGCAGGGTGAGGTTTTGCTCTGCCTCAGGTAAACTCCAGGTATACCTGGCCTGAGGGTCAAATTCTGTGCTCTGTTAGCATGAAGTCTGGCACAAGTAACCACGAGGTCACCGCCTTTCTCCTTTCCTTGCGGACAGACTTGTCCAGTGGGAACATCACTTTTTCCTTTCTCAGGATGCTAGGGCTCAGCTCACAGCTACAGTTTTGGAGGAAGATGGAAAACCTGAAGTTTTTAATAATCTCTTATCAGGTGTAAAAGTCTCAAAGCACTTGACAGGTAATTACTGTTAAGTACAGGGCTGCTTTTTGTTGTAGACATGCGATTTTTGCATCCATAAACGCCCATTTATCTGAAAGATTGTTGGCCAGGCTACAGGGAGAAACTCCCTTTTCGTTTCCTAACAGTGTCACAAAATCTTTTTAAACGCAAACTAGAAAAGGCAGCCGGGACCTCAGGTTAACATTTCATCTGAAAAGGATGACACCTATGACAATAATAATAATCCTTCTATTTGATATAATGCAGCGCTCTCAACCCCCCCCCCCCACCCCAATACACACACATACCATACAGAACTGCGCTTGAGCGTCAGCCTAAACTGTACAGAGAGGGAAGAAGAGACTTTCACCTCAATAAAAATTATCAAGAAAAAAAGGAAAAGGTCAGAAGGGAGGAGTTAGCTACATTCCAGAAAGTGAGGAGGAAGAAGCCAAACAGTGGTTTCAATGTCAGAATAATAATGAACATTGCAATTGATACAGCGCCTATGGGGAGAGTGGAGGGAATATGATTAGAGGGGATTAGAGGGGGAGTGAGCACCAGTACAGACATGATGAGGATAAAGCAGTGAATGGAATTAGAATAGGGAGCTCCGGGGGGGAGAAAGCAACAGCACAGACACGATGGGGAGGGAGAGCAGGGAATGAGATTAGTGTAGAGAGTTTCAGTGGGGGAGCGAACACCAGGAAACACACGATGGGGAATAAGCTCCAGCACAGATGCAATATTTTACTGGTTGCACGAACCTGCATTTTTAGTGTCTTATCACATCAACACATCTCAAAGCTTCCCGAGTAATTGCTGTTATGCGTAGTGACTGTTTCTAGACAAATATGGCCAATTTACCCTCATCAACGTTCCATAAACCGCGGGGAGAAACTTTCCCATTTGCGCTGTGCACTCTCTGAGGTCCACCTGATCAGGCAGACAGCACCTGCCTCCATTTAAATGTCTCATTCCAAGTCCAGATTCATTGTTAGGGTATCCCTGACAGTGCAGCACAGCTTCCCCCCAACGCCCCACCACTGCTAGAGGGTCAGTCTGTTTTGTGAGCTCCCCGAGGTGGGGTTTGAATTTTGAAGTGAATTGAAGCGATGTGTCCGGCTTAGAGAAGGCTCTGGGATCAGTTTCTTAGAAGGGCAGGACATTGTTATTATATAATAATAATCCTTGCATTTGATATAGCGCTTTTCACGTCAGGAGGACGTCCCAAAGCGCTTCACAGAACACACTGTAAAGTGAATTGACTGTATATTTGTGGGCGAACGCGGCAGCCAATTGCGCACAGCAATGTCCCACAAACAGTCGTAGATTGAAAATGACCAATTTATTATTGTTGCTTTTTTTTTGGAGGGATTATTATTAGGCTCTGTGAGGAGTAAGGAAACTTGCCCAAGGTTTCGCCCTCTGCCTGGAATTGAACTCAGGTCTCTCGCTTGCAAAGCGAGTGCTCTAACCGCTGAGCTACAGGACTCCACATTTGTTATAAACATTTGTTCAGCTCAGCGCTGAATTTGAGGACAGCCACATCACTCTGCAATCTCAGGTGTGCTCCGGCAATTGACAAGAAGTACAAGTGCCTAATCACGGTCTGATATGTGGAGCCATGTTCAGAGAATGATCTTAAGCCATACAGGCAATGGTGCCCTTTAATTCTGTAGTTTCCAACAATATAATTGAATTGACATTTGAGTTCATTGTTCCATAAACCTGAATTATTATTATTGAGGCAAAGTGATGGATCAGCACCTTTCGGGCTTGTGGTGGGCGTTGTCGTTGATTTTGGGGGGGAGAAGGAAGCTTGCACAATTAACATCTCCACTGAATCCCAGCCAAGGCTCCGGGCATATTTGTTTTAATTACTGGTAAACACAACATGCATGCTGGTGCAAGTGCTTCTGAAAGGTACAGAGTTCGGCAGAGATCAGCCAGCACCAGGTGCCTCTACTTCACATGGTCTTATTTAACTGTTGTCTTCAACTGCTTGTCAATACAAGTACTATTTGCTTTCCTTATCTCTCTTCCAGCCTGCTCCGCAGCTATAAACACCGCAAAGAAACTTCCACCTACTGGAGCTCTCTACTCTAACTCCACTGGTTTTGGGGTGAGAAGGAAGCTTCTACAATTAGCATCTCCACTGAATCCCAGCTACCGGATGAGGCTATGGCATCACTCAGAGGATGGTTAGTGGGTCTGCGAGGGAACAGCTGATTCCCCTTTCCCTCTTCCCCCCCCCCCCCCCCAAAGATCAGATACCCTGGTCTCCATTACTCCACAACACAGCGAATTGTAGATCCACTGCCAAGTACGTTGATTTCAATACGGCGCTCTGCTTTTCTCCTCTACATTCTGCCAGCCTGGCGCAGTGGTAACACGCTCGCCTCAGAGCCAGAAAGTTGTGGGTTCA